CTGCAATTCCAGACCAGAATTCCTGCCCAGAATTCCTGCAATTCCAGCCAAAAATTGCTGCAATTCCAGACCAGAATTCCTGCCCAGAATTCCTGCAATTCCAGACCAGAATTCCTGCAATGCCAGGGGAAAAGGGAAAATCCTTGTGCGACAGAGACTGGTCTAGTCCAGCCCAGAATTCCTGGAATTCCATCCCAGAATTGCTGGAATTGCTGCAATTCCAGCCCAGAATTCCTGAAATCCCAGGGGAAAATGGACCAAAATTATTCCTGAAATTTCAAGGAAAAAGTGACCAAAGTTGGCCCAATCCATCCCAGAATTCCCCTGGTTTTTAGAGGAACGGGAGTTTTCCCCAGGTTTATTTCAATTTTTAGCAGATTTGGGGATTTTCCCCAGGTTTTTCCCAAGTTTGGGGATTTTCTCCAGGTTTTCTCCCTGTTTTTTTCCCAAAATCGGGGGTTTTCCCTGGTTTTTATTCCAAATTTTTACCTGGAAAACGAAGAACGGAGCCGTGGCTCTTTCCTTGAACAGCTCCAGGAAGCTTTCCCCAGGTTTTTCCCAAATTTGGGGATTTTCTCCAGGCTTTTTCCCTGGTTTTTCCCCAAACTGGGTTTTTCCCTGGTTTTTATTCCAAGTTTTCACCTGGAAAACGAAGAACGGAGCCGTGGCTCTTTCCTTGAACAGCTCCAGGAATTCTGGCACCACCATTTCTGCCCTGGAAGGAGGAAAATCCTTGGAAAATCCCGGTTTTTCCACCCTAAACATCCCAAACCCTCCCCACTCCCAAAACAAAAAACTGGAATTTTGGGATTCATTCCTGGAAAACCCCTCAGCCCAAAATCCCAAATCTGGGAGGAAAATCCCAGATTCTCCAGGATATTTTGGAATATCTGGGGACATTTTCCTGGAATATTTTCCTGGAATATTTTCCTGGAATACTTTATGATATTTTGGCAAATTCACCTGGAATTTGGGAATATTTTCCCAGGATACTTTGGGATATTTCCCTGGGATATCTGAGTTACTTTAGGAATATTTTCCCAGTAGATTTGTGAATTTTTTTGGGATATTTAAAGATTTTTTTCCAGGATATTTTGGGCTCTTTTCCCAGGTTTTTCCCCCCAGGAAAAACTCACTTGTTATTCCCATATTTCCTCTCGGCCTCCCGGATTTCCTGCTCCTCCTGAAAGCCTCTGGAATTCTGGTAGAATCCCAAGGGATGCTCCACAGGGAATGCCACGGGCAGGAATTGTTTTTTCCCATGGATTTCATAGGAATATTTGATCTTCTGGAATTCGAAGCTCAGCGCTTCCTGCCCGTCCTCACCCTGGAAAAGGAAAGAAAACCAGGAAAAATTCCAAATTTCCCATTCCTGCAAAAATTTCCAGCCCAGACAGAGCAAAAATCCTGGAATTCCACAGGAGAAAAATCCCAACGTTTTCCCTGGAATTCCCAGATTCCTCCCATTTTCAGGGATAAATCCCATGGAACTCCCAGGTTTTCCCATTCCCTCACGGATTACCACGAATTCCTCGGATTTTCCAGGACAAATCCCGCCAGAATTCCCGGGTTTCCCTCACCTGCTCCCTGTGGATTGGCACCAGTTCCACGGAGCCGTTGTTGGGGGTTGGCACCACCTTGGCCAGGGTGGCTTTTTGGGGACAGGGCTCCTGGGGGGGAAACAGCAGGAAAATCCCTTCAAAACCCCTCAGAAATCCCATTTTTTGTCGCTTTGAAATCCCAATTTTATCCCATTTTTTGTCGCTTTGAAATCCCAATTTTATCGCTTTGAAATCCCAGCTTCATACCCCAACTATTCCAAGTCTTATCCCTTTAAAATCCCACTTTCAATCGCTTTAAAATCCCATTTTTAAACCTCCCTAAAACCCCATACTTATACTTCGATTAATAAGTATTTCACCCTTTTAAACTCCCAATTTCACACTCCCAACATCCCAAATTTTACACCTTTACCACCCCACACTCCCCACAGCCCCAGTATTTAACAATCCCAGTGGGATACTTTAATTTAGCCTAGCATTTATAAATCCGTATTTAATGTGTTAGTGCCCCAAAACCCCTTTAAACCCTGAACCCCCTGAGACCCCAAATCCCCCTCAGACCCCAAATCCCCCTCAGACCCCTCACCCCTCACCCCCCTCACCGCATCCCCCGGTGTCCCCCCGCGCTCACCCTGACGCAGCTGAGGGCGCACTCGGCGTGCACGGACCAGAGCCCGGCCAGCGCCGTGAGCAGCTGCAGCGCCGCGATGGCGCCGAGCGCCAGCAGCGCCGCCTCGGGCGGCCCCGCCGCCTCCCCCGCCGCCCACAGCCGCGGCCCCCACAGCCACAGCCAGGCCGGGTAGAGGCCGGCGGCGAAGGGCAGCACGGTGCCGCGGAGCAGCCGCGGCCGCCGCCGGTAAAGCGTCACCGACGAGACCAGCTCGTCCTCGGGGGCCGCCGCGGCCGCCGCCATCTTCCCTCCGCCCTCAGCGCGCCGCTTCCGCTTTCGCTTCCGCCTCTGCGCCTGCGCCGAGCCCGCGTTTCCCGCCTCGGGGCTGGGAGCATGCGCAGAGTGAAGGAGTGGCGGAAGTGAGAGCGGGGCGCGTGCGCAGAGGGAAGGAGTGGCGGAAGTGAAGCGGCGGCGGAGGAGAAGGCGCCATGTGAGTGAGGGGCGGCGGGGCCGGGCCGCGTCCCCTGGGCGTCCCCTGGTGTCCCTCGTGTCCCCTGGGTGTCCCTTCGTGTCTCTTCGTGTCCTTTCGTGTCCCTGGTGTTCCCTCGGTGTCCCCTCGGTGTCCCCCCGTTTCCAGCCCCGCTGTCGCGGTGATGTCGCTGTCGCTGTCCCGGGAGGTGACACTGTCGCTGTCGCTGTCGCTGTCGCAGGGAGGCGCTGGCCGTCACCGCCCAGCTCTGCGGGCCGGAGCTGGAGCGCTACGGGCGCTGCGTGGCCGCCAGCCCCGGGAGCTGGCACCGCGACTGTCACCAGCTGTCCCTGAGCGTCACCGAGTGCGCCTCCGGCCAGTGAGTGACACACCGGGGATACCGGGAGTGACACACCGGGGACACCGGGGAGTGACAGACCAGGGACACCGGGAGTGACACACCGGGGAGTGACACACCGGGGACACCGGGAGTGACAGACGGGGGACACCGGGGACACCGGGGAGTGACACACCGGGGACACCGGGGACACCGGGGAGTGACAGACCGGGGACACCGGGGACATCGGGGACGCTGCTCCCATCCCTGGGGCTGATCGCGGCGTGGCTCCTGTGCCCTCGATCCCAATCCCGGTGTTTTCCCAGCTTTCCTGATGTTTGCCCGTTTTTCCCCATTATTTTCCCGTTTTTCCCCTGATATTTTCCCATCATGTTTCCCCATTTCCCGCCAATATTTTCCCTGATTTTTTCCCATTTTTCCCTGATTTTCCCCCCGTTTTCCCCCTGATATTTTCCCCAATGTTTTCCCATTTTCCCTGATATTTTCCCCAATTTTCCCCCCCGATATTTCCCTGATTTTTTCCCATTTTTCCCCCGATATTTCCCTGATTTTTTCCCTGATTTTTTCCCATTTTTCCCCCGATATTTCCCTGATTTTTTCCCTTTTTCCCCTGATACTTTCCCCAATTTTTCCCCCAATATTCCCCCCATTTTCCCCCAATATTTCCCCCATTTTCCCCCACTTTTCCCCCTTTTCCCCCCGCTGTTTTCCCGCCCTTTTCCCCTTTCCCCCCCATTTCCAGCCCCCTGGTTCGCCGGATCCGCCGCGACTGCTCCGAGTCCTTCGGGGCCTTCGAGCGCTGCCTGCGGGAGCGGCCGCGGGGCACGGCGCAGTGCGGGCCCCAGGCCAGCCAGTTCCTGCTCTGCGCCCAGAATGTCACCCAGAATGTCACCCAGAGTGCCACCCCCAGTGCCAGCCCCGGGGATGCCACCAGGGGCACCTCCACAGGTGAATTTTGGGGTAAAAACGGGAATTAATCCCTCAAAAGTGGCCCCAGTGTCAGCCAGTTCCTGCTCTGTGCCCAGAATGTCACCCCCAGTGCCACACCTGGGGACACTGCCAGGGACACCCCCAGTGCCAGCCCCGGGGATGCCACCAGGGGCCCCTCCACAGGTGAATTTTGGGGTACAAACGGGAATTACTCCCTCAAAAGTGGCCCCAGTGTCAGCCAGTTCCTGCTCTGCGCCCAGAATGTCACCCCCAGTGCCACCCCCAGTGCCACCCCCAGTGCCACCCCCAGTGCCACCCCCAGTGCCACCCCCAGTGCCACCCCCAGTGCCACCCCCAGTGCCACCCCCAGTGCCACCCCCAGTGCCACCCCCGGTGAGGCTGGAGCCCCTGGAAGGGAATTTGGAGCTGGAATTTTGGGACAGAAATGGGACTTAAACCCCAAAAGTGGCCCTGGCCCTTCCTGCCTCAGGAAATTCCGAATTTCAGGAGGGAATTTTGGGATTCGAATTCCCTAAAATCCTAAATTTTTTTTTTTTTCCCCATGGAAAAAGCTGGAAAAAAAAGGAAATTCGGGGTGGAATTTTGGGATGAAAGTGTGAATTTTTTTTTCCCTTTTTTTTCTCCCTCCCCAGAGAATCCCTGGAATTAAAACCCCTCCGGGAATGCTGGGAAAGCCTCGGAACCTTCCGGAATCTCCTCCCAAATCCTGGGAACTGCCCCTCTGGAAAAGGAGCCCCAGGATGTTGAATTTTGGGGTAAAAACGGGAATTAATCCCTCAAAAGTGGCCCCAGTGTCAGCCAGTTCCTGCTCTGTGCCCAGAATGTCACCCAGAGTGCCACCCCCAGTGCCACACCTGGGGACACCCCCAGTGCCAGCCCCGGGGGCACCTCCACAGGTGAATTTTTGGGTAAAAATGGAAATTAAACCCCCAAATGTGACCCCAATGTCACCCAGTTCCTGCTGTGTGCCCAGAATGTCACCCAGAGTGCCACCCCCAGTGCCACCCCCAGTGCCAGCCCCAGTGCCAGCCCCGGGGACGACCCCAGGGACACCCCTGGGGATGCCACCAGGGGCACCTCCACAGGTGAATTTTGGGGTAAAAACGGTGGAAAAAAAAGGAAATTCGGGGTGGAATTTTGGGATGAAAGTGTGAATTTTTTTTTCCCTTTTTTTTCTCCCTCCCCAGAGAATCCCTGGAATTAAAACCCCTCCGGGAATGCTGGGAAAGCCTCGGAACCTTCCGGAATCTCCTCCCAAATCCTGGGAACTGCCCCTCTGGAAAAGGAGCCCCAGGATGTGGGACCTGATCTGCAATTCCCTGCGGATTCCCACGCTTTTATCCCAAAAATTGGAGGAAGAAATAAAAAATTCCAGCGGGGTCTCCCCAGGAATCTTCAGGATGGGACCAAAATTCTGCTTTTCCTTCTTTTCATTCCCAATTTTCTCCTTTCTTTCCCATCTTTTTTCCTTTCTTTCCCACCTTTTCCCTCTTTTCCAGTTTTTCCTTGGCTTCCTCTCAGATTTTGGGGTTTTTTTGGGAATCTCGTGGTCCCATGGAATTATTCAGGGTTGGAGTCAGTGTTTTCCATGAAAAAAAAAAATATCCTGGGAATTCCAGGAGCCTTCTCAACCCTTGGGAGCCCCAAAATTCCTGGGAATTCCAATCCCACCCCAAAATCCCCAAATTCCCAAAACTTTTAAAACTTTTCTCTCTTTTTAAATTTTTTTTCTGGGATTTATTTCCCACCGGACATGCAAAAAAAGAAAGGAAAAAAAAAGAAGCATTCCCAAAAAAATCCCCCCACAAAAATTCCCAAAAATTGGCACGGGAGCAGAAGGAAAATCCCAAATTCCAGCGGAATCTTGGAGGGGTTCGACCCCGGTTTTTTGGGATTCCCAGGACTGGGATTTTCGGGAATTCCGGGATGTCAGGAGGTGAAGTAGGAGCTCTGCATGGAGTACAGGCGCTCCATGGGATTCCCGGGCTCGGGCATTTCGGGAATTCTGGGATTCCCGGGGTACAGGCGCTCCAGGGCATCCCCGGGCGCCGGCATTTCGGGAATTCCGGCATTCCCGAGGATCAGCTGCTGGGAATTCTCCGTGGGAATCAAGGATCCCAGGGCGTCCCCGTCCAACTCCCGGAAAACTCCCTCAGAGTCTGGGAAAAGTCGGGAAAAATTGGGAAAAAATGGGAAAAGGGGTTGGGGAGGGGGGGAAAACCGGGCGGGGGCCCCGGCATTCCCGACGCGATTCCTGGAATTCCCGCGGTTACCGTAGGGCCGCAGCTCCGGGGGCGCCGTTCCCCGGAACGTTCCGGCCTCGCTCCCGAATCCGTTGGGCTCCGGAATCCGGGAAAACGGGACCAGGATCTGCTGCAGGCCTGGGAACGTTGGGAATGTTGGGATGTGGGATGTTGTGACTCCGCGATTTCCGATCCCTCCATCCCACATCCACCCCATTCCCATTTTCCCATCCCATTTTCCCACCCCATTCCCATTTTCCCATCCCATTTTCCCACCCCATTCCCATTTTCCCACGCCATCCATGTTTTCCCACCCCATTCCCATTTTCCCACCCCATTTTCCCATCCCCATTCCCATTTTCCCATCCCCATTCCCATTTTCCCATTCCTGGTTTCCCATCCCCATTCCCATTTTTCCATCCCCATTCCCATTTTCCCATTCCTGGTTTCCCATCCCCATTCCCATTTTCCCATCCCCGTCATTCCCAACCCTCCTCATCCTCGTTCCCATCCCGGCCGCTCCTCCCGGATCCTCTCCCTGCTGGAATTCCCCCTCTGGAATTCCCGAGCTGCTCCTGCTGCTGCTGCCTGCGGGCGATCTTCTTCATCTGGGGGGAAAAACACCCGGAGAAATTCTGGGAAAATCCCACAATTCCCACAAAACCCCGAGTTTGGAGGATTTGGGGTTGGTTCTTATTGCGGAATCCTGGGAACTCCGGGAATTCCCACCTTGGCTCGTTGGTTCTGGAACCACACCTGGACCACCCGGACCGTCAGCCCTGTCTCGGCCGCCAGCGTCTCCCGCACCTGGAAAAATCCTTTGGAATTCCGGGAAGGAGACCGGGAATGGGGGAAAATCCCTGGGAATTCCGGGAAGGAGACCGGGAATGGGGGAAAATCCCTGGGAATTCCGGGAAGGAGACCAGGAATGGGGGAAATTCCCTGGGAATTCCGGGAAGGAGACCGGGAATGGGGGAAAATCCCTGGGAATTCTGGGAAGGAGACCGGGAATGGGGGAAACTCCCTTGGAATTCCATGAAGGAGATCGGGAATGGGGGAAATTCCCTGGGAATTCTGGCCCCGATCCCAACTCCAGAAGCCCAGAGCCCCATCCCAAAATCCTGAAACAATCCTGAAATAATCAGTCCCTGATCAATCCCAGCCCATTCCGGAACGTTCCGGCACATTCCCAGCCCATTCCCGGAACATTCCGGAACGTTCCGGCACCTTCCGGCAGGGTTTGGAGGAGACCTCGAAGGAGGCTCTGAAGGCGCGGCGCTGTTGGGAGCTCAGGATGGTTCGGGGCCGCTTGGAACGTTTGGGATCCTTCCCCTCGGAATTCCGGGAGCGTCGGGAATCCCGGCCCTCCTCGTCCTCGCTCCCAGCTGTGGCTGGGAAAAATAAAACAAAAAAAAAAGGGAATTTTGGGGGGAGAAATGTTGAAAAAAATCCCCAAATACCTGAAAAAAATATTGAAAAAAAATCCCAAAAATCTTGAAATCTTGGGGGGAAAAAAATCTTGAAAAAAATCCCCAAAAATTAAAAAAAAAAACCACTCAAAAAATCTTGAAAAAATATCCTTTAAAATCTTTAAAAAATCCCCCAAATTTTCCATAAAACCCCCAAAAAATCTTGAAAAAAAAATCTCCTTTAAAATCTTTAAAAAATCCCCCAAATTTTCCATAAAACCCCCAAAAAATCTTGAAAAATATCCCCCAAAATTAAAAAAAAAAACAAACCCTAAAAAATCTTGAAAAAAAAAATCCCTCAAAAATTCAAGAAAAACCCTTAAAATATATTGAAAAAATCCGCAAATACCTAAAAAAAATTGAAACAATCCCCAAAAAATCTTGAAAAAAATCTTGAAAAAAAATCTTGAAAAAAATCCCCCCAAAAAATTCCAAAACCCCCCCTAAAAATATTGAAAAAATCCCCTAAAAATTCCCAAAAAAACCCTAAAAAATATTGAAAAAAACCCCAAAAAATTAAAAAAAAAAACCCTAAAAAATCTTGAAAAAAAAATCCCTCAAAAATTCAAGAAAAACCCTTAAAATATATTGAAAAAATCCCCTAAAAATTCCCAAAAAAACCCTAAAAAATATTGAAAAAAACCCCAAAAAATTAAAAAAAAAACCCCAAAAAATTCATGAAAAAAATCCCCAAAACCCCCCCAATTTTTTTTAAAAATTATTTTTACTTTTACCTGCATCCTGCCCCGCGGCGCCGGGCTCGGCGTGGCCCCGGCACAGCACGCGCCCGTCCCGCAGCACGAACTCGTCCCCGCGGCGCAGGCGGCGCCCGCAGCGGCCGCAGCCCAGGCAGCGCTCGTGGAAAAGGCGCCCGGGGAGGCGCAGGATCCGCTCCGAGCGCCCCACGGCGCCCAGGCAGCGGCTGCAGCGGCGCGGGAACAGCCTGCGGAGAGCGGGGGGCGTCCCGGGATATGGGGGGGGAATATCCCGGGATAGGGGGGGGAAATGTCCCGGGAATAGGGGGGGATATCCTGGGACGTGGGGAGGATATGGGGGGAATATCCCGGGATATGGGGGGAATGTCCTGGGATGTGGGGGGGAAATATCCCAGGATATGGGGGGAATATCCCGGGATATGGGGAGAAATATTCCAGGATGTGGGGGGAAATATCCCGGTATGTGGGGCAGAGAAAAATCCAGCGATTTGGGAGAAATATCCTGGGATTTGGGGGAAAATATCCTGGGATGTGGGGGAATATCCTGGGATGTAGGGTGGAAAAAAATCCAGCGGTTTGGGAGAAATATCTTAGGAATTGGGGGAAAATATCCTGGGGTTTGGAGTGGAAGTATTCTGGGATGTGGAGGAAAATATTTTGATTTTTTTGGGGGGAAAAAAGGGATTTGAGGGAGAAAAATGGGATTTCGGGGAAAAATCCCGGGATCTGGGGGAAAAGATCCCGGGATTTGGGTTTTTGGGACATTCCTGCCCTTTGTAGCCCAGTATTTGGGGGTTTTGGGATGTTCCCACCAGAATTCCCAAAAAAAAGGGGATTTCCCCCCACTTTTCCAGCCCTTTTTTTGGGAATAAAGCAACCCCAGGCTCATAAAATCCCCGTCATCTCCAATTAGTGGGAATTAAAATTCCTGGGAATTCCTGGAGAGCCTCTCCCAGCTTTTTTAATATCCCTGGAATCCGCTTAAATCCCAATAATTCCCTCGGGGTTTCCATGGAAACAGGATTGTGGGAAAAGGGGGGGGGTTGGGTTTTTTCCCCAGGAGTTTTTGGGTTTTTCCAGAGGGATTTGGGAAAGAGGAGAAGCTTCCCTAAAAAGGGGGAATGGGAATTGTGAAAATGGGAGTGATCCCAAATCCCTTTTTCCCAGGAGAATCCCCATTTTTGGGGCCTGTTTTTTTTGGGAATGACCGGATTTGGGAACAGCTGAACATTCCAAGCAGTTTTTCCCTGAGAAAAAAACCCTGGAAAATCCCAGAAAATCCCATTTTTGGGATGCCCTCCTCACCCCTCCCATCCTCGTGGAGGAAAACTCGGGGTGAGCTCCCATTTTTTGGGATTTTCCCATTTTTTGGGGGGGATTTCCCTCATTTTTCCCTTTCCCATCCGCATAAAAACCGCATGGAAAAAAAAAAATAAAAAGGGATAAAAAAATTCCTTTTTTTTCCCCCTTTGGTGCCGGAGCTCGGAATTCTGGGAATTTTAATAACGGAGCCGGGGTTGGAAAATTTAATAACGGAGCTGATCCGATTATCCCGGAGCAATTTCCGCTGGAATTGGGGGGGGTCGCAGCCCCCAGGGCTGGAATTGGATTTTTCCGGAGGTTTCCCTTCCAAGCCCTTGGATTTTATGGAAACTCCCGAGTTTTGGGGATTTTTGTGGGGTGTTTCCCTAAAAATCAGATTTTTAAAAGAATTTTAGGGCTTGTTTTCCTCCCAGATTTGGGGTTTTTGGGGGGAAAAGGAAAAAAAAAAAAGCAATTTTTTGGGAGATGTTTGGATTTTTTGGAGGGATTTGGGGTGGTTTTGGGATTTGGGGTGGTTTTCCTTAAAAGTGGGATTTTATTTTTGATTTTTCCTCTTGGATTTGGGGTTTTTTAGGGGTGGGGGGGGAAAGAAGGAAAAGAAAGGGAAATTTTTCTGATTTTTCCTCCTGGATTTGTTTTTTTTGGGGAAAAAAGAGGGAAAAGAAGGGATTTGGGCTGAGGTTTGGATCCATTAAAATTCCAGGCAGGAATTCTCCGTCTCCCTCCCGATCTTATCCCGCCTCAATTTCCTGTTGGCCTTTTCCAATTTCCGGCTTTTTCTGCCCATTCCGGGGGGAGGGGAAAAAAAAATTGGAATAAAATAAAAAATGGGAAAAGTGGGAGTGGGGGAAGGGAGGAATTAATGAGGATTTAATGAGGGGAGCTCATTAATGATTCATTGGGGGAGGGTTAATTAAAGGTGGGGACGAGGAGAAGGGGAGAAAAGCAGGGAATAAAAAGGGGGATATTCACAATTTTAAAATATTTATTAATATTAATAGTAATTAACCCATCATATTTATTATCCAAATCTTTATTAGCAGTGACAATAATTATTAATAATTAACAGAAGCTGGACTAGTAGTTAATTCTGATGATTATTGTTACTAATGAGAGTTGGGCTTAATAGTAATAGAAGGGGGGAATAAAATGGTAATATTTAATAATAATTAGTAATAATTAACAGTAACTGATAATAATGCTAATAATTTGAATCAATTATAGTCAATGAGAAATGAGAATAAATAATAAGTAGAATATAACAAAAAATTTAAAATAATAATAATAATAGAAGAGTGGAGTATAATTGTACTAATGAATAATTAATAATAAATAATAATAACTCTATTAATTTTAATTAAATAATTGAAATAAATAATACCAAATAAGTAGAATTATTACTCTTTAATAATAATCTGGATAGTTATTAGGAATTAGTATTAATGAGAAAGCAGGGAAAGAAAGAAAGAAAGAAAAAACAGGGAAAAAATTGGGAAAGAAGGAGAAAAATTGGAATTAAAAAAGAGGGAAAGAAAGAAAAACAGGGAAAGGAAAAATCAGGAAAAATGGGAAAAATCCAGCCCGGGGTGGGAAAAAAACCCACGGAAAAAATTATCTTTTAATGAACCCCAGGAAATGAAGGGAATATGCAAATGAGGCTGCGGGAATGAATGGGATTTGGGAATTTGATGGGATTGAGGGAATTAATTCCATGGGATTCGTTCTCCCAAGAGATCCAGGAGCTGGGAGAAGGGGAATGGGGAATCCCAGAATTCCCACATTTCCTAAATCCACCCCCAGCGCCCATTTCCCTCCTTTTCATCCCAAAAAAGTCCCGGATTTCCCCCAGCTTCCCAAATTTCCCCCTTCTCCTCACCCCTTGGAATCCGAATTCCCAAATTCCCCAAACCTTGATCCCAAAAAAACCCAAAAAATGGAAAACAGACCCCCAAATCCCAGGATTTTGACACGGATCCCATTTTTTTCCCAGATTTGTGCCTCTGGAATTCGCTGCTCCCCCACGGAATTAAAGATTAACCAAACCTGGGCCCTGTTCCCGAAATTTTTCTGGGTGGGAAAGGGCACGGATCTGCTCCAATGGAGCCAAAATTCCCATTTTTAACCTTGGGAATGGCCAAAACTCAAGATTTTTGACACCTGGAATGACCAAATCCCAGATTTTTAACCCCCTGAGGGGGGAAAATTCGGAATTTTTTGCCCTGGCTTTTGTGGGAATTTTGGGTCTGGGGGGGTTGGGTGCTTGGAAAAGTGAGAAAATTGGGGAAAAAGGGAGGAAATGTGGGAAGAGTGGGAGAAATTGGGAAAAAATGGGGAAAAATGAGGGGGAAACCGGGAAAAAACTGGGGGGAAAAGTGGGAATTTGGTTTTCCCGAGGATTCCCCAAATCCTGGGCCCAAATTCCCGGCGTTTCCCCAACCCACGGGTCAGGAATATCCAGGGTTGGGAATTCCCGAGGGGATCCCGATGGGAATCTGGGGATGGGGTGGGATCAGATCCAAAAACAACCCCCCAAAATTCCAGGAAAAGCCTCAAAAAGCTGAGGAAAGAAGAGCTGGGAAAGGAGTTCGAGCCGAGTTCATCCCGAAAAACTCTGGAGGAGGAGGCTGGGAACGGCTCCAAGGGCTCGGAGCCCTCCCGAATTCCCAGAAATCCGACTTCAAAGGGATTCCAAAGGGAGTTTTCCTCCCTTTTTTTATTTTATTTTATTTTTTTTCCCGATTTACGGGACAGGTGCCTCTGGAAGGGGCCCCGGAAAGGGGAGAATTCCATGAAAAATCCCTTTGGATTTGGGGTTTTTGTGGGGGAAAGGGTCCTGTTCCTCCTCATCCAGTTCCTTGGGAAAAAGGGAGGGAAATTCCTGGAAAATTTGGAACAATAATGGAAAAACCAGGGAAACAAACCTTGAAAAATGAGGGAAAAAACCTTCAAAAGTGGGGGGAGAACCTTGGAAAATGGGCAAAACCACCTTGAAAAATTGGGAAAATTGGGGAGTGGGGGGGAATGGGGAAAATCATGGAAAGCCAGGGGAAAAAAACCTTGAGGAATGGGGAAACAACCCTTGAAAAATGGGGAAAATCAGGGTAAAATCAGGGGGGAAATGGGAAAACTGGGGGAAAAAAGAGGAAAATCGGAGAAAAAAGGGGAAAATTGGGGGGAAAATGGGGAAAATCGGGGGGAAAAGGGGAAAATTGGGGGGAAAAGGGGGAAAAAGGGAGAAATTGGTGGAAAAAAGGGGGAAAATCGGGAAAAATCGGGAAAAGGGGAAAATCAGGGGAAAAGGAGAAAATCGGGGGAAAATAGGGGGGAAAGGGGAAAAATAGGGGGAAAATCGGGGGAAAAGGGGGAAATTGGTGGAAAAGAGGGGGAAAATCGGGGGGGAAAGGGGGAAAATTGGAGGGAAAAAAGGGGACAATTGGGAAAATCGGGAGGAAAAGGGGGAAAATGGGGGGGGAAAAGGGGAAAATTGGGGGAAATCGGGGGGGAAAAGGGGGAAAATCTGGGGAAAAAGGGAAAATCGGGAGGAAAAGGGGGAAATGGAGGGGAAGCAGCACTCACCTGTCGTAGTCGGGGCCGCAGAGCAGGCGGCGCTCGCGGCTGAAGCAGCGGCCCCGCAGCCCCCGGCCGCACTCGGAGCAGCGCAGGCACCGCTCGTGCCACGAGCGCTCGTTCACCCGCAGCAGGAACCGGTCCCGGATCCCGCGGCCGCAGCCCGCGCAGCGCACCGGCACCGCGGGAGGGGAGCCTGGGGACCGAGAGAATGAGGGATGGGGGAATGAGGGATGGGGGGAATGGGAGAGACTGGGGGAATGGGAGAGACTGGGGGAATGAGGGGATGGGGGAATGAGGGGATGGGGGAATGGGAGAGACTGGGGGAAAACCAGGAGATACTGGGGAAATGGGAGAGTGGGGGAATGAGGGGGAAAAATCAGGGAGGCTGAGGGAAATGAGAGATTGGGGAATGGGAGATTGGGGAAAATGGGAGAGGCTGGGGGAATGAGGGATGGGGGAATGGGAGAGGTTGGGGGAAAACCAGGAGAGATTGGGGGAATGGGAGAGTGGGGGAATGAGGGGGAAAAATCAGGGAGGTTGAGGGAAATGAGAGATTGGGGGAATGGGAGATTGGGGAAAACGGGAGAGACTGGGGAAGTGGGAGATTGGGAAAATGAGAGATTGGGGGGAAAATATCAGAGACTGGGGAAAATGAGAGATTGGGGGAAATGAGAGGTTGGGGAAATGGGAGATTGGGGGAAAATGGGAGATTGGGGGAAAATGGCAGAGGTTGGAGGAATGAGAGATTGGGGAATGAGGGGGAAAAACAGGAGAGATTGGGGAAAGGGAGTGATTGGGGGAATGAGAGATTGGAGGGATGAGAGATTGGGGGAAATGAGGGGGAAAACTGGAGAGATTGGGGGGAAAATGGGGAGAATGAGAGATTGGGGAAATGGGGGAAAATGGAGAGATTGGGGGGAAAGACGGAGAGATGGGGGAAAATGGGGAGATTGGGGAAATGAGGGGGAAAATGGGAGAGATTGGGGGAAATGGAGAGATTGGGGGGAAAATACAGGAAAATCTGGGAGAAACTGGGGAAATTTGGGGGGAAAAAAAGGGAAATTCCGGGCAAAAGATGGAGGAATTTGGGAAAAATGGGAAATTGGGCAGAAGAATGGGAGAATTTGGGGGAAATGGAAAAGTTTGGGAGAAATATAGGAGAAAATTGGAAGCAAAACAGGGACAATTCATGGAAAATGGGAGAATTGGGGGAAGTGGGAAAATTTGGGGAAAATCTGGAGGAAATCTGGGGAAAATGCAGGAAAAAAAAGGGAAAATTTGGAAAATAATGGGAGAATTTAGGGAAAATGGGTCAGCTTGGGAGGAAAATGGGAAAATTTGGGAGGAAAATGGGACATTTTGGGGGAAAACCAAGAAAATTTGGAGGAAAATAGGGAAAGTGGGAGAATTTAGGGAAAACCAGGGAAATTCAGGGGGAAAAATGGGAGAACCCAGGAAAAATGTGTTTGGACATCAGGGAAATTCCATGGGGAGCTCCCAGAAATTCAAAGGAATATTTTTCCATGGAAAAAAAAGAAGAATTTGGGGGATTTTGGGAAGGAATCCAGGGGATTCAGGGCTTTTTTTCTCACTCTGGATTTTTGGGAATTTGTATTTTCTCCCTCATTTTTATCCCAACTTTCATCTTTGGCCACTCCTCAAAGGGAAGGAAGGGAGGGAAAAATTCCAACTTTTCTCTGGCAGCGCCTCCTCCTCCTCCCGAGGCCATTCCCGGGTTTCTTCTGCCCAAATCCCAGGAAAAATGGAAATGAGGGGAGCCCCCAATGCCCGATTTAATTTGGAATTCTAATCCCAGTTTTAATTTGGGCTCTGGAATTCCAATCCCGATTTCAATTCCAAATTCAAATTCCCAAATTCCAAGCCCAGATCCAATTTGGACCCCGAAATTCCAAATTTAAATTCATGGGGGTTTTCCAAGGATTTTTATCCCATTCCTGAGGTTTTTTTCCCACATTTTTCACTCCCCCAATCCCATTTCCACCACCGCGGTGTAAAATTAAGTATTTAAAGTCCAAATTCCTGATTAATTTAGAGGGGGAAACCGGGAATAATTAAAGAGGGAATGAGGGAGAATTTTCGGGAATTTCTGGGAATGTGGGATCAAGGGAAAATCCCCGGGAAAATCCTGTATTCCAGCCAGGGAAAATGAAAAAAAAAAAAACAAAAACCAAAAAACCAAACATGGGAATTCTGCTAAAAAAAAAAAAAAACAAACCCCAAAAAAACCGGGGTTGGGAAAAGGGGGAGGTTTGGAGCTGGGGAAAAAAACGAGAATAAAGAGGAAAGCTCTGGGAAAAACGGGAAAAGGGACCCGGGAATGGCAAAAAATCCCGAAATTCCGGGATTTCCGGGAACTGGGGGTGCGGGAGGGAATTTTGGGAATTCCCAGTGATATCCCCGGTGTTTTCCCCGGAATTCCCGGTACTCACCGGCTCCCGGGAGCGGCGTTCCCTGCTCCCGGCAGGACGGAGCCTCCTCCGGCTTCATCCCGGCGGCTGCGGGGAGACGAAACGTCGGGAAAAGCGGGAAAAAGCGGGAAAAGGCAGGAAAACCGGGATGAGAGCGGGAGGAAACCGGGACGGGACCGGGAAGAAACCGAGAGCGGAGCGGGGAGGAACCGGGAAAGCGCCGGGAGAGGAGCGGGAGGAGACCGGGAACGGAGCGGGAGAAAATCGGGAACGGAGAGGGGAGGGAACGGGAAAAAACCGGGATGGGAGCGAGGGAAAGGAGCGGGAAGAGCCCGGGATGGGAGCGGGAGGAAAGCGGGAGCGGACCGAGGGAGAACCGGGCAGGAACCGGGAGTGGAGAGGAGAAAAACCGGGAAAGCGCCGAGATGCGAGCGGGGAAAAGCCGGGGTGGGAGCGGGGAAAAACGGGGAAGAGCCCGGGATGGGAACGGGGAAAAACGGGGAATAGACCGGGATGGTAGCGGGGAAAACCCGGGAATAGACTGGGATGAGAGTGGGGGGAAAATCGGGGAAAAAAACCCCAGAAAGAGCCCGGGAGGAACGGGGAAAAGCCGGGAACAGACCGGGATGGGAACGGGGGAAAAACCGGGAAGAGCCCGGGATGGGAACGGGGAAAAGCGGGAAGATCCCGGGGCAGGGAGAACCGGGAGGCGCCGGTGCCGCCCGGAGCCGCCCGCGCCCATCGCGACTGTCGCGACACGGCGGGACCCCCCGACGGTGACGGGAACTCACCGGGAGCGCGGCGGCGACAGCGGCACCGGGACGGCGACAGCGGCGACAGCGGGATCGCGACAGCGACACCGGGCCCCCGCCCGTGCGCGCTCCCGGGGGAGGGGAGGGGCGGGGGCGAGCACGGGGAAGGGGGAGGAAAGGGAAAGGGGGAGGGAATTCCCGTTTTTTTTGGGAATTCCTGTTTCATCCCCCATCCCAAAATGGGAATTCCCCCCCAAAAAAAGGGAATTTCCGAACTCAAAAAAAAAGGGAGTTCCGTCCCCAAACGTGAAGGATTTGGGGAAGTTTGGGATGCAGGAGGATTTGGGGGAAATGTAGAGGGGGTTGGGGGTATGGGGAGGACAAAATTCCCGAATCCCTGTGGGATCCTGGACCCACCCAGGACCTGAATCCCCAAACCCACCAAAATCCCGGGAAATTTTCCCCTGGAAATCCAAATTAAATAGGGAAAAAAATAGGGAAAAGTTTGGGAAATGCTGATTTTTAGGGAAAATTATAAAAAATTGGGAATGGGGCCGACAAAATTCCCAAAGCCGTGAATCCCCAGAGAGTTTTGCCTTAAAACCACCAAAACCCCAGGAATTTCCCATCCCAAAAATCTGGGAAAACTCCAGGAAAGTTCAGGAACAATCAGGAAAATCCCAAACTCGCCCAAACCAGAGCAGGAATCTCCTTTTATTCCACAAAAAATTCCCGTTTTTTTTGGGGAATTTCACATCGCAGCCCCACGGAGTGGGGGGAATCAGGAAAATTGGAAAGGGGGATCCCGGATTTTAGTGGGAAAAAGGGGATTTTTGGGAAAGGGGGCGCTCGCAGACGAAGAAGCACTCGAAGGTGCAGTGGACGTCGTTCCACTTCCCGGAGATCCAGAGGTGAGCGCAATCCTCGTTACTCCCGCTGTCGTTGGGCTCCCCCTCACGCCAAAACCTGGGAAAAAAACCCGGGATTTGGGACGGGAAGAAAGTCCCCGGTAAAAATTCCCATTTCTGGCGGGGAATTCTGCGAAAATCCCGAGGTTTGGTGGGTGAAATTCCCCGGAACTGCAATATTAAAGGAGAGAAATTCTCCAAAATGTCAAGACTTGGAGGATTTTTTGGGAGGCAATTGCCAAAATTCCAACATTTGGACTCCACAATCCCCAAATCCCATTTTTTTGGCTCGCTTTCTGTGGAGACAATTCTGAGAACACCCCAAATTTGTGGGATTTCCGAGGGGAAAATCCCAAATTCCCTCAAATTTGTGGGATTTTTGTGGGGAAAAAAACCCCAAATCCCAACTTTGGGGTGGAATCCCGGGGTTTTGGGGTGGAATCCCAGGATTTTGGGGCGGAATCCCGGGGTTTTGGGGATCCGGGGCTCACGTGAAGGAGGATTTGTAGTCGGTGCCGTCGACCCATTCCCAGTTTCCCTCGGAATTCCGGTCGGTGAGCCCGATCCAGAAGCGCTCGTTCCGCGTGCGGGACATCAGGAACTGCTGCGGCAGCGGGAAAACCAGGAAAAATTGGAAAAAGCAGGAAAATTGGGAAAACCGGGAAAATTGGGGAAATTGGGATGGTTGGGATCAGCAGGATTGTCGGGAAAATTGGGACTGTCGGGGTTGGGATCATGGGGAAAAAGAGGGAAAATCAGGAAAATCAGGATAATCCAGACTGGGCTCAGGACCGGGATTTGAGATTTGGGATTGGGATTTGGGATCAGGGTGGGGATTTTGGGGATTTGGGATTTTGGGGATGGGGATTTTGGTGATTGGGGATTTGGGATTTTGGGGATTTGGGATTTTGGGGATTTGGGATTTCGGGGATCTGGGATTTTGGGGATCTGGGATTTTGGGGATTTGGGATTTCGGGGATTTGGGATTTGGGGTCACCTGCTCGGCGAAGCTGCCGACCACGGCCAGGCGGGCGCGGCGCTCCCGGCACTGCTCCCGCGCCCGCTCCCAGCTCAGCCGCGCCAGCGAGAAATAATAACAATTCCCAGAAAAATATTCCCATTCCCGGGAATCCGCCCCGCACGGGAACACTGCGGGAACAACCCGGGGGGAAGAATCGCCCAGATTCTGGGATCTGGGAATTCTCTCCCTGCAAAATCCCCCGAGTGTTGGGATATCCAGAGGGAAAAGGGAAAAATTCAGGGAATTTCGGGACTTACGGAAGGAATCCCAGCTGGAAAAATTCCACTCCGGACTCTCCTGGTGGAGTTTGGAGGAAATGGAGGAAACTGGGGGAAAGAAAAAGAGGGGGAAATTCCCAAAAAATCAGAACTCTGGGTTTTTTTTTTTTTTTCTTGGGAATTTCCCACCCTTTTTATCCCAGGATTTGGGGATTTTGGGAATTTCCCTCCCCAATTCCAGATGGAATTTGAGGGTTTTTTTGGGGATTAGGATGGGAATGAAGGAATTCGGGGAATTCAGGGAAATGAGGGAATTTCAGGATTTGGGATGGGAATTCGGGGAATTCCAGGAATTGGGATGGATGGGAACAAGGGGGAACTGAGGGAATTCAAGGATTTGGGAGCTCAGGGAATTGGGGACGGACGGGAATCCGGGTGAATTTCCCAGCTTGGATTCCGGGAATGAAGAGGAATTATGGGGTTTGGGGGTGGGCGGAGCGGGAGTTCCGACGTGAGGGATTCCGGGAATGGGGGGATTTTGGGAATGCCGTGGGGTTGGGGATTTTGGGAATGATGTGGGATTTTGGGAACGCTGTGGGGTTGGGGATTTTGGGAATGCTGTGGGATTGGAGATTTTGGGAAGGCTGTGGGATTTTGGGAAGGCTGTGGGATTTTGGGAACGCTGTGGGATTTTGGGAACACTGTGGGATCGGGAGATTTTGGGAGTGCTGTGGGATTTTGGGAATGCTGTGGGGTTGGGGATTTTGGGAATGCTGTGGGGTTTTGGGAGTGCTGTGGGGTTTTGGGAACGCTGTGGGGTCACCTCTGGCCAGCGCCAGGGCGCTGAGGCCCAGCAGCAGCAGCGAGGAGAGCGCCAGGCTCAGGTACACGGCCGGGAAGGAGCGGAGCCGCGCCGGGAGCGCCGCGCCGCCTGGGAAACCGGGAAAACGGGGTGAAACGGGGGGAAACGGGGCAAAAACCGGGAAAACGGGGTGAAACGGGGCAAAAACCGGGAAAACGGGGTGAAACGGGGGGGAAATGGGGATGAAACGGGGGGAAACAGGGGAGAACAGGGTAAAAACCAGGAAAATGGGGTAAAACGGGGGGAAATGGGAGGAAATGAAAAGAAATTGGGATAAAATGGGGGGAAATTGAGTAAAAACTGGGAAACAGGGTAAAACGGGGGGAAACGGGGTGAAAATCAGGAAAATGGGGTAGAAAATGGGGTAAAATGGGGTAGAAAATGGGGTAAAATGGGGTAAAAAATGGGAAAATGGGGTAAAACGGGGGGAATGGGGAATAAAAACAGGGATAAAATGGGGAAAAATGGGGGTGAAATGGGGATAAAATGGGGGAAATGAGGAAAAATGGGGATAACATGGTGTGAAACTGGAAAAATGGGAAGAAATGGGGAAAAATGGGGGTGAAATGGGGATAAAATGGGGGAAATGAGGAAAAATGGGGATAAAATGGGGTGAAACTGGAAAAATGGGAAGAAATGGGGAAAAATGTGGGGAAATGGGGAGAAACGGGGAGAAACAGGGGAAACTGGGATAAAATGGGGAGAAATGGGAAAGAAGTGGGATAAAATGGGGAAAACCAGGGAAAATCAGGGAAAAATGGGAAATAAAGGGATAAAACGGGAAAAACAGGGAAATGGGGAAAATAGGAAAACTCAACAGATCCAGGATAATCCAACAAATCTAGGGGGAAATGGAGGGGAAATGAAGACAAATCCAGGGAAAATTTGGGAAAATCCAGGAAAATCCAGGGGTAATCCAGGAAAATGGAGGGAAAATGCAAGGAAAACTCCAAGGAAAATCCCTCCCTGCTCTTCCCAGGATTTCCCCCCAGCTTTTCCCGCTCTGTTTGTCCAGGGGTTAATCAATAACTGGGAATGCTCCAAGTTTGCCTCCAGGAGGTGAAAATTTGGGAATAATTCCCTGGATTTGGGCTTCTTTTGTTAGGAATTACTCCGGGAATAGTTCCTGATTAATTCCAGGATTATTTTATTTGGGATCATTTGTTCCAATGATCATTTTGGGAATTATTTAAGGAATTTTTTTGGGAATTATTAGGGAATTATTTTTTAATAATTTCCGTATTATTTCCAGGATTCTTTTGGGAATTCTTGTGATTTCCTCCTGGGATTACCAGGAATTTGAAGCTTCCGGGAGCAGAATTTTTGGGATTATCCAAATTCCCTGATCATGGGAGGAAGAGGGAAGGAAAAGCCCTTGGAAAAACCCTGGGGAAAGCAGAAAAAATCCAGGAATTCCACCTGGGAAGAGGCGCAGGTCATCCTGGAGCTCCTCCTCGTCCATCCTGGGATTTTTGGGGGGATTTTTTTGATTTTCCGGATCAGGGGTGCTCTGGGAATGGTCCTGGGAATGTTCCGGTTCCCCCTCCCCCTCCAGAGGGTTAAAATTTAATCCAAGGAATTTTTGGGGTTGGATTTTGGGGCTTGGATTGGAGCCAATTAGAGAAATCCAGATTTTCTCCCCCATTCCTCTGAGGATTTTTTGGGGATTTTTAGTGGGTTTATTTTTTTTTTTAAAATTTATTTTTTTTAGAGTTTTTTTGGGAGGATTTCTGTGGACTTTTGTGGGATTTTCATGGATTTTTTTGTGGAGTTTTGTGAGGCTTTCAGTGATTCTTATGGATAGTTCTGATTTTTTTATTTTATTTTCAGGGATTTAAAAAATATTTTAATGGATTCTTTGGATCTTGATGGGTTATTTTTGGGCTGCAGAGCATTTTTTTCAGTTTTGTAGATTATTTTTGGTAAATTTTTGTGCATTTGCGGGGATTTTTTATTTATTTTGAAGAATTTTTTTTATTTTGGGCAATGTTTCTTTGAATTTTGGGGTTTTTGGCAGATTTTTATTTGAATTTCGGTGGCTTTTGGGGGGATTTTGGGGGAATTTTCAAGGATTTTCCTCCTCCCTTTGAATCAAAATCCTGGCGCTGCTGCCTCAAAATATGGGAAAAAGTGAGCCTGGGAAATCTGAACAAACAATTTTTGGAATTTTCCCAAGAAAACTTGGATTTGGGAACCAATCCTGCAATTCCGAGGGCACCGAGACCTGGATTTCACCACCAGGGCCAAATTCCGGCCGAATTTTTTCCGGAATCCCCGAAGAATTTGCGTCGAAACGGCCCAAAATGGCGCCAGGTCCCTGAGGGGTGGGAGAAAGGGCGGGAAAAAAAGGGCGGGAAAAAAGGGAAAGGGCAGGGAAAAGGCGAGGCCGCGGTGGCTTCGGGCGCCTTTTGTCCCCTCCCAGTCCCCGTTGTCCCCAGTGACCCCTCAGAGCCCCCCATGGCACCCAAAGACCCCTCCCAGTACCTCCCAGTAGCTCCCAGTAACCCCCAGTACCCACCCGTGGGGGGGCCCAGGCCGCGCCTGCCGCCATCTTGGCCGTTGCTAACAACAAACGCCGTTGCCAGGCAACGCTTCGGCTGACTGGCGTCGGCGTGACGTCACTTCCTTCACATCAGAATGTCCCTTCCGGGCCCACTACAATGGTGGCCTGCAGGTACCGGGTGGGCTCTGGAGGCACCGGGAGCGCTCAGGAAGTACCGGGACGCCCCTGAGGGGTCCCGGGAAGGCTCCGGAGGTCCCGGGGGGGGGCTCCGCACCCCTCTCCCCCCCACCTCCAACCCGCCAACCCACCCCCCTATGGCCTTAATCCCTACTGCGGATGAGATCCAGGACAGGGATGAACGACCAGGAGCGGCTTCGGTGTCCCCCGGTTCTCCCGGTGTTCCCCGTTTTCCTCCCCACCCCCGGTTCTTCCCCTCCCATCCCCTCTGTGACCAAACCGGCGCCACGCTGAGGCTTTAAAGCGGCCGCGCGCGTTCTGGAGCGTAAAATTTATTGATAATAAAGCTGCTTTTGGAGTCCCCGGTTATTCCGTGGCTCCGGCGGGACCGGGATGCCGTAACCGGGAACGGCGGAGGCGTCGGTGCGGCTTTGCGTTCCGTCCAAGTTTGTCCACGCACGACCACTGTCCCTCCTTTCCCGCGCGCTTCTCGGCTTCACCGCGCGCCTGATTGACGGGTGGCTCCGCCAATAAAAGTGCACATTGAAGGGCACCGCGTCTCCGCCGACCAATGGGAGCGCGGGAAGGGCGGGTTTGCCCGCCCCTCGGCGCGGCGGAGGGGGCGGGCCGCGCAGGGCGGGCAGAGGGAAGGGAAGATGGCGGAGGAGGAGAAGCTGCCCGCGGGGTGGGAGAAGCGCATGAGCCGCAGCTCCGGTGAGGGCCTGAGGGCGGGGGGCTCCCGGGGGGGACCGCGGGGATGGAGCGGCGAGGTGGGGAAGGGGGGTGCGGGCGGCGGGGTTGGGCTTTGGAGGGGATGAGGGGGCGTGAGG